GGGACCGAGTGCCCCACTTCCTGTCGGCGCCGCCCCTCTCGCCGACCTGCTTCTCGCTGCAGATCCGAAGCGCGGCCGGCCGCCTCGGGGGGGTCTGGTCCTCCGCGCGCCGACGCCGCCGCGGCTGATGGAGCGCGCGATGGCGAACTGCGTGGGCCACCGCCTCCCGGCCTCCTCGAGGCGATCGCGGCATCCTTTCTTGAGCGGCTCACCGCCCGCGCGGTCGCCGCCGCGGCGGACCCCCGCGCGCGGGCGGCCGGGGCGGTGGCCCAGACCAGTCACGAGGCCCAACAAGTGGTTCGTCGCAGAGTTGTCGCATGGGGAGATCGCAGACATTCGGCGCCGCGCCAGCGACTCTGAACGTGAGCAACACTTGCGCAAGGTCGCCATCGATGAGATCAACCTCGCACTCGCCATGCGCCGAAGCGGGTGCGTCCGTTTCTGATCGTCTCGCCGAAGCAGACTTCGAATGAGCTCCTGACCCCGCGTTTTTTTTTTCTGCTGGGCTGCCAGTGCCACCCCAATAAGTTCAACTGGCGCTTCAAAGTGAGTTCCTTGATTCAGGGGTGGACGTCGCCGCCGCCGCCGCGCTGGTTGGGGAGGTCCACTCAAAGCGCTCCAGAGTTCGTCCACTTGGAGGGCGTGCCGTGGTTTCGCCTCGAGCCACAGCTCTCGCTCGCGGTTTCAAACTCCTTGGTGGGGCCTGGCGCCAGTTCGAGGCGCGTTCCGCCGCTGGCCGGCAGGTGCCGCTCTACGTCAGCACCGACAGGAGCCCCCCGACAGATCCGACAAGAGATCCAGACTCGACGATTGCATCGGCGATTTGAAGAATCTCACGCGCAAGTGGACTTCAGAACTTACAAGCAGAAGGGTAGGCTCGCACGGGCTGGAATACTTTTGGTGCAGCTCGAAGTGGGCACATCAGCTCACATCGACACAGGCGAACCACCTCGGCATTGACACCACGTCCACCGAAATGGCGCCCCACGTGTTCTTCTCCGAGGACCATGGCATATGGCGAGGGTTACCTTCGCAGCGAACAAGCGCTGGCCCCGTCGGTCGATGTGATCTCCTGGAGCGCGAGAGGTTTCCCCGCGGTCTACGCTGCACGCCACAAGGCCAAAGTTGCCATCGTTGCACCAAACATGAGAATGTGCTACATTCTCATGTTGCAGGAGGTTCATGGTTCCGCTGTTCGCCGCCAACGTTGTGTCGCCTCCACGCCGTGCTGCTATCACGTGATGTTCAATTGCAGTGGCAATGCCGGCGCTGGCGGAGTTGCCTTGTTGCTTCCGAGTCTCCGAACATGTGGTCGACTCATCGCCTCCCGCGCATGCGGTGACCTCGAGCTCAGACGCTGCTTCCTCGTCCTCCTCACCCTCGTCGCCGACTCCTTCGGCTGCGCGTTTCTCGACTTCGGCTTCCGCGCCATCTTCGGGCACATGCTCAGAGACTTGCGACGACCGCGAGAAGGCCGCGAACCACGAGTGGGGGCATGCCCGCGAGACCGCCAGGCACCACGCGTGGAAATTCATCCGCGAGACCTTCGGCGACCACGACGGGTTCAGGTGCCTTGTTAGGTTTGGCTTCCGTGTCGACCTCGGGCACGTGCTTTAAGGCTTCGACCGCTCGCGGTTTGGGTGCCACGCGCGGGGGAACGACCCCGACTCCGCCGACTTCGCGTCTTCGGAATTCGACCGCGTCTCCCTCGGGCACCCCATGTGCAAGACCAGCCGCGTCGACTTCGGCTTCTGGCCCGCCTGCCCGCTGGCTTGGCCTCCGCCCCTGCGGGGCACCAGAGCACCCGCCACATAGCAAGGATAATAATCACCGATTCTGGCGCTTGTTTTCCGAGCCAGTCTGTTCCCGTGAGTGAGCCCGCCGAGCATCGGAATTCGACCGCTCCTCCGTCGGGCACCGCAAGTGCAAGACCAATCGCGTCGGCTTCGGCTTCTCGTCTGGGGACATCGCTAGCGCTCCCGTCGACGGCAGAGGCTGCTTCGCCACCGTCTGCAAGTGCTCTCTTGTCACCTCCAGATGCTGTTCCCGTCGTGGTTTCGGCGCTGTGGCCGCCGACCTTGCCGTCGCACCTCATTGCGTTGGCAGCGGAGTCATCGCGCACTACCGCAGCCCGTTCCTCGATCGTGGCAGGCAGGCAGGGTGCAGGTCGTTGAGTATTTTCAAGTTCCCGAATGTATTGCGGTCTTCTACAACTGTGAGCTCTCCAGGGGCCAGCGGGATCTCATTGCGACTGCCCAGCATCGATTTCGTCGCTGGGCCAAGGAGGCCCCGCGCCAACGCAAGTTGCTGGTCCTTGGCGACTTCAGCGCGCATGATGAACCTGCGGCATCGTTTATGCCCCTTGCGCCCATTGAGTTGCTGACCATCGGAGGAGACCAATTCCAGCGCGCGTGCTGGCGCAACTTGTTCGGCACCCTGACCGAGATCTCCACAGGTGAGCCAGGTTCGGTGCTCATACTCTCAAGCAGAAAAGGATCGCAAGGTTTTTGTAGCTTTGCCGCCGCATGCCATCCCTACCTCATGCTCCAGCTCAACGCGATGGTCGATCCCGCGAAGCGATGCGACCCTCGGCTGCGTGCGCATGCTGTTCTGGCTCTTCGTCTTTCACTGTGCTGCCCCTAAGCAGGACGACATCCAGCCCATCCCCGATTTCGTCTTCCACGCCCCCCTGCACGGGCAGTTTTTCGAGACGCTCGCGGCGCAGTTGCGGATTCGAGATGCGCCGCTTGAGGTCGTTTGGCGCGCCGCGAAGGCCAACGTGAAGGAGGCGGCTCGTCTTGCTCACAAATCACATTCTGAAGCTCCCTGGCGGGCAGCGACGCCAGGCCACTGACGAAATCGGGATGCTGGCGATGCGCTCCATCTCGCGTGCAAAGCGGCGCCGGGACCTCGCCCTCGCGCGCGCGCTGATGACTTGCAATGCGCTGGGGGCGCGCTACCTCGAGGTCTCGGAGAGGCGCCTGCAGCTCCAGCAGGAGCTCGAATTTGCGGAAGCATCGCGCCAGGCGCACCACCAACACCTCAGTCGGCTGCGAGAGCGGGCTTTGGCCCAGGCCCAACGGGCGCAACAAGCAGCCCAAGACTTCCGTCTTGCGACCGCCGCTGCCGGCCCGTTTCTGGACGACCCGCTTCTCGTCGGGCGCGACCGACAGCCCGCAGAAGCAGCGAGCGTCATGACCTGCGTCGCCCATGTCTGCAGCAGCGGGCTGAGTTGCCTGAGGCGACGGCTGGATAACCTCGTCGGCTTGAGCCCCTGCTATCGCTGCGGCGAGCGAGCTTTGTAACTAATGTGCTGCGGCGGTGGCAACGGGGCCGAGCCTTCGTTCGCCGCGGCCGAGAATCCTACGGACGGGCCACGGCTAAAGGTCTACAGCCTGGACACCATGTGGCGCGCGGCCTATTGCGCGATCCTCGATTGGCAGCGCTGCTCTGCTGCTCTTGAGGCCACCGCGACGGAGTGCTGCCCCATCGTCGATTGCGTCTCGGGTACCTGGCCTCCCGTATTCTTGAAAGAACCCACCTCTATCGCGCAGCGTTTCGTGGCGAAGTCTCCCCTGCTCTCCTTCGTGCCGCTGCTGCCGCGCGCGAACAAGTTGCTCGTGCTGCGGAACTCGATCGACGTCCACGGCCGCAACGGTACTTCAGCGGCAAGCTCAACGAGGTCCTGCTCCCTCACCAGCTCCACGAGACGATTCCGAAGCGGCTGTGCCCTTGGTTTTTGTGCCGACCACATTTTGGGGGACTTACTTGAGAGGTGGGAGCGCCTGAAGCCGTTGCTCTCCAGCACGTCTCCTGTCTGCAGTTGGATTGCCCTCCGAACGCTGGCAGGGGGCTGGCACGTTACGCGCCGAATGTATGTGGTACTGATCGAGCCCGTTGTGTTTACGGATGCGGGGCCCCATATGCCATCCAGCATTACATGGTTTGCGACCGCCTCATCCACCTGACATGCATGCCAATGATGATCACCCACGCGCCTGCAGTTGCTCGCATGGGGCGCGGGGCAGACAGTGAAAACCCACCGCGCGACACGGATGAGAAGTCCATGTGGCCCTCGATCCAGCGGTGAGTGTGCCTCATGTACTACATCACGCTGGAGGTGCGGCACCTTCACCTTCACGTCTATGATGCTGGTGGGCAATACGAGCGGCACCTCGTGGGAAGGCGCGCTGCGATTGACCGCCTGCAGATGAGCGGCTCGATGCCATTGTGACTTTCTGCGCCTCGTGGGCTGGTTGCTTGCGCGCGTGCTGACTACATTCCAGCTGCTGCCTCGCGCAGCCACGACAACAACCTCTGCATCGACATCAATAGCGGCATCAACGCCATCCATATTGCCCGGGCCGCTGATCGGCCCCGCGGCGCCCGCGGCGCGCCGCTGAACGTGGCACGCCCCCCTCGGCGTCACTGCTGCTGCTGCTGCTGCTGCTGTTGTTCCTCCTTCTCCTCCTCCTCCTCGTCGTCCTCCTCCTCCTCCACATCCTCCTCCTCGTCCTCGTCCTCCGCCTCCTCCTCCTTCTCCAGTTCCTCCTCCTCTTCCTCTTCCTCCTCCCCCTCCTCCTCCTCCTCCTCGCCGCGCCCTCCTCCTCCTCCTCGTCGTCCTCCTCCTCCTCCTCCTCCTTCTCCTCCTCCTCCTCCTCCTCCTCCCTCCTCCTCCTCCTCCTCTTTCTCCTCTTCTCCCTCCTCCTCCTCCTCCTCCTCCTCCTCCTCCTCCCTCCCCCTTCTCCTCCCCCTCCTCCTCCCTCCTCCTCCTCCCCTCCTCCTCCTCCTCCTCCTCCTCCTCCGCCTCCTCCTCCTCCTCCTCTCCTCCTCCTCGTTTCTCCTCCTCCTCCTCCTCCTCCTCCTCCTCCTCTCCTCCTCCTCCTGCTCCCCCTCCTCCTCCCCCTCCTCCTCCCTCCTCCCTCCTCCTCCTCCTCCTCCTCCTCCTCCTCCTCCTCCTCCTCCTCCTCCTCCTGGGAATCCGCGGGGGCGCCGCCGAGGCCGAGGCAGAAAAGGAGGACGCCGACGCGGCCGAGGCGGAGGCCGAGGAGGCCGAGGCCGCAGGTCGGGAGGGGCGGCGAAGCGCCGCCCCCACCAACCCCCGGTCGGCTGCGCGTAAAAGTGGTTCGTCGCCGGAGTCACCTTCAGTGTGGGCCCGCGCGAGCCCCGTGGGGTCCCCGCAGTTTCTTCGGCTGCGCGTAAGAGTGGCCCTTCGCCAGAGCGACCTTCGGTGCGGGCCCGCACGGATCCCGTGGGGTCCCCCGTGCACTGGTTGGCGCGCTTGAAGTTCGCCCCCTCGCCGCCCCCCACAGCCGAGCGCCAAAGGTCACTCTTGCCCAGGGTCGCTCTTGCGTGCAACCGATCTCTGGCGGCCCTGGCGGGACTGGGAAGAAGCTCGGGAGCAATGTCAGGGGGTGAGTGGCTCAGCTGTTTCGCGCTCAAGGCCAGATGTTTTCGGACGCTTTCGCCGGTTCCCTGCGAGTTTTTAGCCTCGGGATGCCTTCCAGCGGCTGCGCTTCGCCGAGAGCGGCCCGGGATACTCGCCCTTGCGGGGGGGCTATGACAGCCCAAGACGACCCAAGAGGCTTCTAAGAGGACCCAAAGACAGCCCACGAGGCCCACCAGAGGGCCCCAAGGAGGCCCAAGAGGGTTCTGAGATGGCCCCGAAAGGGCCTTATCACAACCCAGGAGACTTCCAAGACGACCCTACAGAGCCCCAAGGGGGCCCCAAGACGACCCAAAGAGGACCCTAAGACGGTTTCCGAAGGCGTCAGACGGGCCAAGAGCGCCCTAAGATGGCACAAGAGGGCCCACGGAGACCAGAAGTCGGCCCGAAGAAACCCCCAAGAGGCGCCAAGAGGTCGCAAGGAAGCTCCAAGAGGACTCCTAGAGACCACCAAGAGGCCTTCTCCTCCTCCTCCTCCTCGTCCTCCTTCTCCTTTCTCTCCTACTCCTTCTCCTCCTCCTCCTCTTCCTCCTCCTCCTGACGCCCCACGACATTCCAACATGTCACATTTGCTGGCCAGCTTCCCGAAGTGGGGTCCGTCGTGGCTCCCGCCCTGTGGGCTCAGTATGGCGGGCCCCCCGCAGGGCCCCGGCCGCATTGGGCTCCCAAGAATCTAGCAAAGTGCAAAGGCGGGAGCGCTTGGGACGGGATAGGCAGACTGGGAGGTCTGCAACTTCCGGAGCAGATTTTTAAGGAGCCGTACAGAAGTCTCTTCGGTGGGCGCAGACCGCGAGTCACGGCGACCCTCCCCCTCCCGGGACATTGACGGCCCCCATAACTATGGTTCAAGATGGTTCCAAGACGGTTCCAGACATGTCCAGTTGTCCTCAAGATGGCCCACGATGGCCCAAGGGGCCGCCAAGATGCGCCAATAGGGCTCCAAGAGGACCCCTTCAAGGGGACCCAGAGGCAACAATCATTGATGTCCCGAAGGTGTTTGACACCTTTTGACGTTCTCGCCTTGTCGAGCTGCGGACGCTCCAAGACGGCCCAAGATGCCCCGAACATCGCCCCGCGATGGCCCAAGAGGCCCCAAGAGAACCCCAATAAGGCACAAGAGGGCCCCAAGACGGCCCAAGAGGCGGCCCCAGAAGGCCCCAGGAGGGTCCTAACACGGGCCCCCGAGGGAGAACAGCGAATTGAATGTTTTGTTGTCGCGCCAAGATGCCCCCCAGGAGGCCTCAAGAGGCAGCCCGAAGGACCCAGAGGGGCCCCCCAAGAGGCTTTCCAGGAGGCCCCCCAGGAGGCCCCAGCGTCGCCACGGCATGGTTCATTGGCATGCGGGTTTTTCCTTTTCAGAGCTTGGCAAAGAAAAGAGGATTGGAAAGCTTGAGACGGGATAGACAAGTCGGAAGGCTTGAAGTAGCCTCAGCAGGCTAACTTGGATATTTCAGTACCGAAGCTTCTTCGGCGGGCGCAGACCGCGAGTCACGGCGGCACCCAAGTTTTTCTGGAGGCTCATCGGCGGCCCCAATATGCCTCAAGGTGGTTCGAAGACGGTTCTGGACGGGCCCAGTTGTCCCCACGATGAGCCCCAGACGGCCCAAGGCGACTCCAAGATGGGCCACGATGGCCCAAGGGCCGCCAAGACGCTGCAAGAGGACTCCAAGAGGACCCCCACGAAGGCCCCCAGAGGCAAACATCATTTGTGCTCTGTGTTTGAAGGTCATTGGAAGTCTCGCCTTTTCGAGCTTCCGACGCTCCAAGACGGACCAAGGGGCCCCAAAGATCGTTCCAGGATGGCTCAAGAGGCCCCCAAGAGTGCCCCAAGAGGGCACAAGAGAGCTCCGGAGTCGGCCCAGGAGGCCCCCAGGACAGCCCCAGATGGCCCCCAGAAGGCCCCAGAGAGGGAACACGAACTGACATTCCGAGTTTTGATTTCCAAGGAGTCCCCCAGCAGACCCCGAGAGGCCTCCCGGGAGGCCACCCGAGAGGCCCCAAGGGGCGCCCAAGAGGCCTGGCACGTTCGTTGGCGTGCGGGTGTTTCCCCTCTGCGGGGCCCGCCGTGCTCCCGCCCTGAGGGCTCCGTGCGGCGGGCCCCCCGTGGGCCCTGGCCGCGTTGGGCTCTCCAGAGCGTGGCAGCAGCGAGAGGCTTGAGGCAGCGATAGGCAGACTGGAAGGCCTGCTGCATAGCCTGGGCAGGCCGACTTGGAGCCTCAAGCGAGGCTCTTCAGGCGGGCGCTGTACGGGAGGCACAGCGGCACCCCGATTCTCTTGGAGGCTCACCAGAGGCCCACTACGTATGTTTCAAGATGGCTCCGGCAGGGCCCATCTGAAGAGGTGTCAGATTGAGCTCCACGGGTCAAGTCCAAACATCATGGGTGCTCCGTTAGTTTCAATGCTTACATGTCTTCCGTAGCCTTTGGCTTAGGGGCACCCTCAGATTCCTACGCACGGTTGTCCTCGTATTGGCAACAAGTTATCACCCTCTCGTCGTTCGGTGTTGTTCTCATGCGTTTGAACTCACAGTTGGTAGCTGAGCCTCTGGTACGACCAGGGGCCTCCAGCTCCAGCATGCCTGCAAATGGAGCTGAAGATGAGCGTTCGACAGCGAGTAAGGTAGCATCTTGGGACGAGTTGCGTGCAGCTGGGGACTCAGGGCAAAGCCAGGAGTCGGGCTTTTCGGAAGCCCAGCGTAAGGAGTTGATGAAGATGATGAGCGCGGCTGTCAGTGACGTGATCGGTGCGGAAGCTTCGCGGGAGGTGTCAGAAGGTGCTGGCTGGCATCCGCGAAACCGGGAACCCGCAGGCCAGCCACAGGATCCTTGGTTTCATCAAGACCCGTGGCAGTCCTCCCGGCAGGAGGGTTTTAGTTCGACATGGGGAGGAGTGGGCTCATGGGGGAGCTCGTCCGGTCGGACTCGGCAGGACCCCGAGCAGGAGAGCGGCACCAACACGGACTGGGGCTGGGACAGCGCCGCCAAGGACAGCGCCGCCGAGGACGGAGGCGCCAAGGACAGCAGCTCCCAGTGGACCGAGGCGTGGGCCGGCCAGAGCTGGCAGCCGTCGTGGTGGTATACGTCGTGGAGCAGCAACGCCAGGCCAAACCTGTCAGGTCCGCCGGACTGGATGGGTTGGCCAGACTACAAGATTTGGCGTCGGCGCGTTCGTTGGTGGCTGGACGGGGCGGACACCCTACCGGCCAAGAGGGCGGTCAAGCTCTTGCAGGCGCTGGAGCTCGACATGCAGCGCCAGATGCAGGACCTTCCCGACTCCGCACTAACGAGCTGGGACGGAGCTCAGACCATCCTATGCCGAGTCGACGCGCTGAGCGGAGAGCGACATGATGATGATCGTCGAAAGGCTGGACGCGAGTGCCTCTTCAATTGCAAGCGGAAGCCGTCGGAGCCGCTGTCTCAGTACTCAGTGAGGATGCAGCAGCAGTTCGACCAGCTGGGCCTCCAGGGGCTGCAGGACGATGCATGGAAGAGGTTATTTCTGGAGGAAGGAGTTTCATTAGATGATGCAGGTCATCAAGTGCTCAGAATAATGACGCGAGGTGACTCGAGTGTGGCAGCATTCCATTCAGCGGTCAAGGAGATTGACATGACCAGAAATCAATGTGTGTCCGGGGCGACCAAGAAGTTGTTTTTGGAGGCCCCGCCCGAGAGCGAGTCCTTCCTCGTAGGCCTGGAGTCCGGCGAGGACAACGAGAGTGAGTGGAGCATGAACAGTGACGAGGAGAAGGAGATCTTGATGACTCTGGACAACTCCCAGGTAGACGAGTCCGAGGTTGGCGACGTCCTGGCCGTGCTCACCCGCGAGAAAAATAATACCTGGAAGGAGAAAGACTCTCAAGCGGACCCTCCGGGCCGACAGACGATGCTACAAGCCGCCCGAGGCCGTCGGACATCGCGAGCGGCGAGGAGATCGACTTGAAGGGAAGAAACGACTCAGCCTGGAAGAATTGACGAAGGTGACGACCTGCCACAAGTGCAAGCAGAAGGGCCATCGGCAGAGGGAGTGCCGGCAGCAGGGCGACGCCCCGGGCGAGCCGAATCCAGCTGGCGGAGGCGGCAAGCCGCCCCTGTTTGTCAATGGCCAGGCGGGCTCTGGCATCGCGCTCAGTACCTTCATTCTGGAGAACAGGTCCTCCGACGCAGCGTTGCTGGACGTCGCCTGCCTGCCTCGCCGCTAAGACGCTCGCGGACCTCCGGCAGGACAGCGAGGGCATCGCGGCGCTCTTGACAGTCGAGGACGGGGCCGGAGGCCGCATTCAGGTGACCACTGGGGCGTTAATTCCCGTAGGCCTGGAAGGTAAGGTAGGCATCATGGAACTGGATGCTGTTGAACAGGATTTGCCTCCCTTGCTTCCTTTCGGCATGCAGAATATGTTAGGCGCCGCTATATGTTTACCCGAGGATGAGATGGGTTGCATCTCGGAGTGTCGACTACCATGTCCGAGCTGCCTTCGGGGCACCGCGCCATCCGCGTAGACCAGCTGGGGGGGCCCGCCGAGTTTTCTCGCCCCGAGACCGCGCGTCAGAAGCACAACATCTCCGAGGATGCTTTTCGTTTGCGTGCAGAGTCGAAGTGCATGCCTTCCTCTTCTCGACCC